CCTCAGGATACCAGAGTTCAGTCACACTTTGGTTACTCACGATCTCCGGTCAACCTGAATGGCAAATTGATTTAAGTCTTCCGACTCTTAACGAGGTTGAAAAGGCTTTAGGAAATCTAAAGAGAGGGAGAGCAGCAAGCCTTGATAGACTAATTCTTGTCATTTTTGAGGTTGGTGGTCCAGTTTTAGCAATCGGATTGACTTAGATATTAGCTAGAATCCGGGAAATGGATAAGATCCCATCCGATTGGTCCTAATCACTGATTGTCCCAGTCTATAAGAAAAGATAAAAGTCCTGCTGTAAGAACTACAGAGGAATCAGTTTAGCTAATATAGCGTCCAGAATATTAGCTTCACTAATACATCGACACCTAGCTAGAGCTTGTGAAGAGCAGACTCGAGAAAATCAGTCTGGTTTCAGACCTGGACGTGGATGTATAGACCAGATATTCACTCTTCGTCAGATCCTAGAACATTGACACACATTCAGACGTCCCACAACAGTTATACTCTTTGATCTTAAGGCAGCTTTTGACTCTGTCGATCGTAAAGTTCTATGGCAATGTCTGTCATTGAAGGGTGTTCCTAAGATGTGCATTAACTCTTTACAGGCTCTCTGCTTAAACACTACTGAACGGGTCAGAGCTTATTGGGAACTGTCATCGGAATCGGTTGCTTCAAGTTGTGTTCGTCGAGGCTGTCCACTTTCTCCATACTTATTTAGCTTTGTCGTCGACATGCTTTTAGAAACGAAACTTTCATCGTTTGACTTTTCAGGAATTGACTCTCCACTAGGAGATTCACTTGTTGACTTAGAATATGAAAGTGACATAGTTCAGTTCGGTGAAGACTGGCAAAATTCAGTCTTCTGAACACCTTAAACAACAATACAAACATGTTTGGGACCTGATTCACCCGTCCCCTGGAGATGCAAAATATTGCCTCGGGATTGGCTTGCATCAGTGACTAAACTAGTTATAGGAAGTGCAGTAGTTGAGCGTGTTGACCGCTTCACTTATCTTGGGAATCTCATCAGTACTGATGGCCTGGTGTTTGACGAAATCTCTGTACGGATACCAAAGGCTTTTGCCAACTTGCGTCACTTATGGCGTAGGCGAGATATCCGTTTGTTAATCAATGGACGAGTGTACTGTGCTGCAGTTCATAAGTGTCTTCTTAGCTTTGTTTGTATCTAATGAGGCCACTGAGTAAGCAATGCTGCTGTTAGAAAACGAGTAATAGGTAGGGATGGCAAATCAATGAATGAAGTATTGAAACTTCATCAGTTGGGGTGATTAGGACATATGTCACGCATGTCCAACCATCGAATGCCTCGACGAGTGATGTTTGGTGGTGTAGGAATAGGTTGGAAGAAAGCTAGGGGCGGAAAAACCAATCATACTTCTTGAATATTATCTTACAATACTAATCTTTTCGATTACCTCTAATACTTCTACTATGTCTACCACTCTTTGATTTGAACTGACAATTGCGTCTTTGTGTTAATACGATATGGCAATATGAACTGATGTACGTACCTACGAAGTCCCACGTTGTAATTGACTTACTGACTGCATACCACTTTCAACAGGGTATCGACAGCCCAAGCGTTAACACATGCTCTTTTTACACTGTCCAGTTAATCGATCGGAAATTTCCAAAAGAAAATAGACGCGTAGAGACAAAAATCGATAACCAGAAAACAGTGAACCGGTAGACTGTTAAGTCCGAACTTGCAGAAAACAATGAAAAATCAATCGATTCTGTAAGAATCAGATGCAAAATTACTCTTGAGAAAAAAGTGATCTTGCTAAAGTTAATTCGATTAGAATGAAAAACAAGTTTAAAGGCATAGTAGTGATCAAAATTATAAACGTAACGCAGCAAGAGAAAATACGATTGTCTTTTTTAATCATCGTGCTTTGGAACTTTTATCACGATTCTCCCAAACCGTACCTTTATTTCTCTTTTTGTCTGCTCGCGATTTTATTGCGGTTTAGGGGTAGGCCGGAAGAAAGTTAGGCGCGGCCAGACCAAAACATTGCACAAATTAGTAAAGTTATCGACAACTAGAGTGAGCCTTGTTGGTAGGTGTAGACATCCTGGTTGGGATCCGGCAGTTGGTAGAAACCTATGGTTCGAGACTTTGAATGAAATGGCTCAAAATCGATTGTCTTTTCTCAAATTTTAATCTTCTGAATTCCTCATCACCTTTATTTTTGTCTTCTTAAATTTATCACACTGAATTATACTTCTTGAATAATATCTCACAACCCTAATCCTTTTAATTACCGCTACTATTTCTACACCCTCTAATACTATGGGATTTGAATTGACAATTGCGTCTCCGTGCTAATGTGAGATGGCAACCTGAACCGATGTACGTACGTACGAAGTTCTACGTTGTAGCTGACTGACTGACTGACATCGGCTAAGCTGGTGAGATACATGGACAGCTTGCTATTAACTAGCCACCTGCTAGCTACCATGAGGACCTCTCTATTGATGAACGTATTGATAATTACTAACTTCTTTGATACAGTCTGTAGCAATTTTTAAAAAAGTCATGAATAGCCCAAACAATTGAGTATAATGATATAAAGTTTATTTATGGAAATGTATGCAGTAAGGGCACTATAAATCCATGTTTAACTATTTTACAGCTATACACTTACATGTCAGGTCACCAATACTTGCCCACATATGCCCGTGGCTAACTACTGAGCACATAAATATACCGATTTCACTGGAGGGGAATGGTTCTGTAAACAGATTAACGACGTCCACATATGAAAAAAACTTAATTTTCTTGTTTTCGACTATCTCGTTAATCAGTCCAGGTTTACGTTTTTACGAATACTACATTGTTAGGCTTATATGACGTTCCGTCTGCTGACTAAAGGACGGGTGTACTGCGCAGTAGTTCGCTCCGTCTTACTTAATGGCTGTGAAACATGGCCAGTGAGAGTAGAAGATATTCGTAGGTTACTGGTTTTCGATCATAGGTGTCTTCGAAGCATTGGTCGTATATCCTGGGACACTCGAGTGAGCAACGCTGTTATTAGGAAACGGGCGCTAGGTACGAGTGGCAGATCAATAGATGAAGTGGTGAAACTTCATCAGTTGAGGTGGTTGGGACATGTGCTACGTATGCCCAACGACCGATTGCCTCGACGGGCTTTGTTTTGTAATGTAGATATAGGTTGGAAGAAAGTTAGGGGCGGCCAAACCAAAACATGGCAGAAATCCATGAAGTCATTGACGAGTGGACTTAGCCATGTCGTTAGTTTTCGACTACCTGGTTGGGGTCCGCAAGATAATAATCGATGGTTAGATACCCTGAATGACATGGCTCAAAACCGTTTGCAATGGCGCAGGTGCATCTATTCTTTGTGTTCTCTCAAATCCTAATCTTCTAGATTCTTCAACCCCTCTAGTTTTGACCTTCTAAACTTTTCTCATTTAATCATACTTCTTGAATAACATCTTCTAGTCCTAACCTCTCCAATCTACCTCTTCTACCATTGGATTTGAATTGACAATTATATCTCTGTGTTGATGTGGTATGGCAACATGAAGTGATGTACTTACTCAAGAAGTTCTACGTTGCATCTGACTGACTGACTTATATGACGTTAATTAATATGTCTGTATTACCATTAAGATCATTGTCTGGCAGCCGACTAGTGAATATTTGTTATGTATAATGTCAAACTCCTTGTTTGGCTGCAGCTTATCTACAATGCACAATCCTTTTTATCTGTCTCATGAACGACTTAAAATGAAATGTTGAGCGTCTAGAGAAAACCATGCCACTTTGACGTCACCACCATTCATATCTTCCCTAACGCGAGTTCTGTTGTACTGCTAGATAACTGAGAATAAGGTTGATAAATAAATTGAAGTAGCTAAGTTTTGGAAGCTGAGCTTGACTGATGTGGGCAAATAACTTTCAAGTGCACCCATACATACATATACACAGGTTCATTTTCTAATTGAAACGATGATGTGTTTCCAGGACTGCTAGCTGATATGAATTAAAACTATTAAAATTTCAGTCCTAGAAGTTAGTCAGTCAGTCAGATGCAACGTAGAACTTCGTACGTAAGTACATCAGTTCATGTCGCCATACCACATCGGCACAGAGATGTAATTGTCAATAGTAGAAGAGGTAGTAAAGGTATTAGGAGTAATCGGAGAGGTTAGGATTAGAAGATATTATTCAAGAAGTATGATTTATTGAGAAAAGTTTAGAAAGTCAAAACTAGAGGTGTTGAAGAACCCAGAAGATTAGGATATGAGAGAACACAAAGAATAAATGCATCGGCGCCATTGCGAACGATCTTGAGCCATGTCATTCAAGGTCTCTAACCATTGGTGACTTTCGTCTCGCGGACCCCAACCAGGTAGTCGACAATTACCGACATGGCTAAGTCCACTCGTCAATGACTTCATGGATTTCTGCCATGTTTTGGTTTGGCCGCCCCTAACTTTCTTCCAACCTATTCCTACACTACAAAACAAAGCTCGACGAGGCAGTCGGTGGTTGGGCATACGCAACACATGTCCCAACCACCTCAACTGATGAAGTTTCAATACTTCATAACTCATTCTTATCTTGCTTCTTAGTTGAATATATCCTAAAGTTCTTAGAAATTAGTCATAATTGGTGAGAACTAGCTAGTTTTTATAAATCAAAGTGATTATTCAGATCCTATTAGTCCTACACAACATCACAAGTGCTAACAACTTAAAAATCTCTAATCACTAGATTATAACCTAATGACAATAGCAAACATTTTTCATCATTAGACTTGAGTGTCTCAAGTTTAGCTTAGTATATATAGTATTGAGTGTATATAGTGCTCAAAAGCGCCAAGTGGTATTGAAATAGCTGTTCAATATTTTCTAGATAACGCTTTATTTCCTATGTACTCATAGTGTTCTTTTCGTAGTTATGCCAAATCTATGGTTTTTATTTTTATTCTTTTCCTCAGGAGATGTGTGACAAACCCTTCTTTTATAATCCTGATATCGATACAAAAATTGCCGGTTTATATGATTTACAACATACAATTGGACGAGGACATTATGCTGTTGTAAAACAAGCACGTCACGTATTTACTGGTGAAAAAGTTGCCGTGAAAGTAATCGACAAAACTAAACTAGACAATGTTTCACGTGATCATTTATTTCAAGAAGTTGTATGCATGAAACTTGTTCAACATCCAAATGTGGTTAGATTATATGAAGTTATTGATACACCAACTAAATTATACCTTGTTCTTGAATTAGGTGATGGAGGAGACTTATACGATTATATAACAAGTCATGGTGATGGTCTTAGTGAAAAGGTTGCTAAACGATATTTTCGTCAAATAGTCACTGCAATTGCTTATTGTCACAAATTAAGAGTGGTTCATCGTGATCTAAAACCAGAGAATGTAGTTTTTTTCGAGAAACTAGGTTTGGTTAAGTTAACAGACTTTGGATTCAGTAATAAATTTGTTCCTGGTACTAATTTAGACACAGCATGTGGTTCGTTGGCTTATTCAGCTCCGGAGATATTACTTGGTGATTCGTATGATGCTCCAAAAGTGGATATTTGGTCATTAGGTGTGATATTGTACATGCTTGTCAGTGGAAATCTACCCTTTCAAGAAACAAATGATAGTGAGACATTGACAAAAATCATGGATTGTGATTATTCTATGCCTTCACATTTATCACCAGATTGTAAACGGCTTATTTCTCGTTTACTAATACGTGATCCACAAAAGCGTGCTCATCTTGATGATATTCTACAAGATGATTGGTTAAAATTAGATGGTAATGATTTACCTATTGAACTATTTTCTGTTCCTTTAATATCTCGTGAACATCTTTCATTTGAAGATCATATGGAAATTTTATCGAAAATGGCTGAAGGTGAACTGGCATCTGTTGAAGAAATACAATCCACTTTAGATCGTAATGAATACAATCATATAGCTGCAACATATTATCTACTTGCAGAACGTAAATTAAAACGTAACTATATAGAAGAATATAAACGTTTAGCAAGTCAATCTCAGCTAAATGAAAAACGAAAACTAGAACAACAAAAATGTATGAATTGTGTATTTGGACTAGCTGAAAATTCAAAACAAATACAAAATGTTGAAAGCAGTATAACTTCTAAATCTTTAGTAAATAGCATGATCAATTCAAATACTCCAACGCCAAATTCACGTATTTTAAATTCTTTAGGCTCATCCAATGTAGAAGATCGTGTTCGACGTTTCAGTATGATTTTAGAAGATGAAGAAGAAGAGGAAGAAAGTAAAGGATCTTTAGTAGCCTCTTCGTTATTCGATCGATATATTACAGGTGTAAATGAATCAGTGAAATTAGTAAATGATTCAGATGGTTTACACCCGTGTTTTGCTGATACATCAGAAGAAGCAATGCTAGAAGAAGAGGAAGAAGAAATGGCTACTGTTGCTGGATTGGCATGTGTTCGTTCTGAACTTTTAACTGATCAAATGGTTAATAATGTATTAAATTTATCGGAATCAGAATACACATCAACTGTTAATGGACCGATAGCGCAAACTCGTCCTTGTTCTAGAACAAGTGGTTCTGGTGCTGAAGCATCTGATGGTGCTGAATCAGATGTTTCTGTTAGTCCTTGGAATACAAATGGGACAGGTTTTGTAAACTCTTTGAATCGAGTTACATCTACCACACGTTCACTTCCACCTGTGGAAACGAGAAGAAAGAATCTCTATAGACGAGGATTTTTATCGCATCGACCACTTACTACAGTGAAGAGTAGTCCACAGCTTATGAAACATATCTCCGAAGAAGGTCGAAACAGTTACACCTCTTTTGAAACCAATAATTCTTTTCAAACGGATAAACGCAGAAAGAAATTAGGAGAATGTTTTTCACAAAATCCGTCTGTCTATGCCACAGCTGAAGATAATATAGGAATTCGATCTTTGCGTAGTTCGTATAATTTGTATCGTAGTATTCGATACGTCGATGATCAGTTGATTGGCCTAAGACCTACAAGTTCTTATGCGACTAAAACTCAACAAACATATTCTGGGGCTCGTAGTCCAGCGTGGACACGAGGGTTTTTCAATACACCTGCATCGTCATCTCGTCCGGCAAGCATTGGGAGTTGGAATGCCGTTCTTAACATAAGTTTAATGAGTGACCAGCGCCGCCCATCGTTTTGTTCATCTCCTGTTGATCAACAAATAAGCGCCATTAATAGACGAAAAGTTCTCTATTCAAACCACAGCCAAGACCCATATATTTTAAATAAAGGGATCAATCCCGATCGAAGATGCAGTGGACCTCCAGGTTTATTGTTGGCGGTTTCAGGATTGTATCATCCAGGTTCAGGTGTTACTTTACCCAGTCGTTCCGATTCAGATACTTCATTTCTAGATCAGCATGAAATCGGTCATTTACCCCCTACTTTGGAACACTCTCTTTCTCCAGAAGAGCCTCCAGATGAGTCTTACGTCCGAAATGGCGTCCGAAATGGGACTAAACGTTCGGATACAGTTACGGAAATTGGCGATGTCATCATAAATAACCACCGCAGTTTTGCAAACAAAAGAGGTTCTACTAGATCCCCGCATCACACTCTTGGCAATTCTCGTAAAACTGCCAGCTGGTGTAGTTCCGCACCTATATTATGCGAGACACCTGAACAGTCCCATTTAATGTATACACCATCGAATAGTCTTGGACTAGTCACTTTATCACCTGAAAGTAACTCTCAATTAGGTGGTTCAAACACTGTACGGGAACATTGCACTCCGATACGTGAAGAAGATGATGAAGCAGGACGCTCTGGAGAGACTCCTACTTCTCAGACATCACATCTGTTATTTGGTTTGAATCATCGAAGAAAGTCCGAATCGTCAAGTATGCATACAAGTTCAACCCTTTTCACAACGTCAAATATTATTACCCGTGGTGGATTCGCAACTTTAGCCGAATCGGAATCAACTTCAACCATTAGTCAATTACCTAATATAAATGCCCAACGTAATGATGCCTTACAAAATGGTGGCAGTTCACAATGTTGTACAACATCCAATTTCTCGCTTAGCTCTCTTGCAACAAGTTTAAGAGATTCACGTTACATGATTGATATTATACGTGGTACATTTGAATTACAATGTCAATATAATCGTAGATTTACTAATTCTATTACGGGAGTTAGCAGTTGTGAATATAATTCTAATCGAGCTAGTAGTACTTCAACATCAGTACGTAGTCTTACTGCTATATCAGAGAATTTTCCTATTAATAATCAATTGAAAGAAGATTTTCCTTTACAAGATTCACATAAACTTCCTTTTTATCATCATCATCGAAATATATTACATCATCCATTGGAGTCTATATTACAAACTTCTGTAAACAACAACAATGCATTACAAAATTCCAATCTAATCAAAGATTCTATGAATAATAGTAGTAGTTGCTTAAATCATGATGATTACCACCTTGTTACAAATTCATCAATTCAACAAACTAGAATGAGTTTACCAACTAGCAGTATAAATAATGGCATTTCAAATACAGATGTGACATGTTTAGTAAGAAATCCTATTTTAGAATTAAATGAAACTAATTTCTCCTCTTCTCTATCTCTTGAACATAATAATTCACCTGTAAGATTTACTAATTTTCTTAATAATCATAGAAATGGATCTTGTAAATCTGTAATAAATCAATCTGCCATTTCATTCAAACATCCTACTTATTCATTATCAAGTCATGAATCGTTGAAAAAATCCAATTATAAAAAATATTTGCCTGATCATGTTTCCAATATTATGGAAAATAGAAATTCAGAAAGTTATTATATTACTACTACTACTACTACCACTGGTACTACTACTAATACTAATACTACTACTACTACTACTACTACAACTAATAATAATAATAACAATGTTCATTCAGAATTATCCAATGAATCAGTGAATCAATGGACTCATCCAAAAACCAATTCATCCAATCATAAACATGTATCATCATTTCTATTAAATAAACAACATCGAGCTAGATTAGCATGTTGTTCAATTTCGTGAGAAAAAAAAACGAAACAAACGAAAAAAGAATCAATCGTCTATTCGAGGAGGGGAATTTTTTTTTTGTTGAGTCTTCCATAATTTGCGTTTATTTTCTGTGTTTATTTTCATCATATATATATAATTTATGATTTGTGTTTCACTTTCATTTTGATGTGTGTATTAGTACACACACACACACACAATTAAGTAGTATATATATATATATATATGTGTGTGTGTGTATGTGTGTACTTGAACATTTTCTCTCTCTATATATATGTTTTTTCCATCTAGTCCACAATTGTTCTGTGTTGTTTTTAATCGTTGACTACTACTACTACTACTACTACACCAGCTTTATTACTACTGCGCATTCATTTTAAAATAGTATTCTGCTTATTTATTATCATTACTATTATTATTATTATTGTTATTATCGACCAGTGTTTAATGTCACCAAGATCACATTATTCCGTTTGATATCTGCTCTGCTCCGCTCTGACTACCACCAGCTTGTCTCTCGTGTATGCTGTTTGTTTACACTCGGACACTTCTAATATATATATTCTTTAAAAATGTGATAACACATAAAACCTGTGTATTATTATTATTATTATTATTATTATTATTTTGACTACACTCTTTGTCTCCCTCTCTCTCTCTGTGTGTGTGTGTGTGGTTTTCTCTATACTCCGTTTATAAGAATTAACGACAGGCAATTGTGTAAATGCTCTTTCGCTCCGTCTCTGTCGGTTTCTTTCTTGAAAAAAGGACAAATCTTTCTTTTTTCTCGTCGTATTTTTATTTTATTTTTGCTTTGCGACTTTCACGCTTAGATTATTATTATTATTATTATCATTATTATTATTATAAGTAGTAGTAGTAAGTAGTATAGTGTTCATGCATAACATAGATCATGTCATAACTCTTGCGATTTTAAAATAATGTCACATTCAATTATATAACATGAATATGTTGTTCTGTATAATCTCTCTCACTCACTCACTCTCTCTCTGTCTGTTTGTCTGCTTGTCATTTCATTTATCTTCGGCCTTTTTCTTATATCCATTGTTGTTATAAATACTACTACTACTACTACTACACACACCTACACACTCACATATATTATATATACGGAGGATATTCATTCAGTTCATTTTTGATGTGAGTAAACTATGGTCTCCGTGCCCCCTTGCATTAGATTATTCTAATTTTTTGTAAATAATATTTTGTTTATCAGTAGTATAAGTATTAGTAGTAGTAGTAAGTAGTATGTTTATTGCTTGTATGTATGTATGTATGTATATCCCGGTTGATTTGCTTTCTTGATCCTTCTTTTTATTTTATTTTATTTTTATTTTTTTGAAGCTTGCTTTCCAAAGTATATATATATATATATGTACATGTATATCTCTTTATTTCAATCATGTCGTGTAAGTATTGACAGAAAAAAAATAAATAAATAAGAAAATCAATCCATATTTGATTTATCATCATAATTTGTTTTTTTTTCAATTTTAAATGTTCAAATTACGATCTGGACGAATGCACTCACTAACTCTGATTGATTAGTAAAGCAAAGTAAGTACATTACTTCAGTTGTTTTTTAGTGTAATTAGGTAGAAGTAGTCAGTCAGTACATTAAAAGCCCCAACATATAGTATAGAACGGGGTTTCACGAGACCAGAAATAACGTTTCGTGAGCTCGCATCGTTTGCATTAGCTGTGCAGTGTGATTAAAGAATGTGAGAAGAGTTAGTTGTGGAGATAAGAGAGGTGTGTGTTGGTGTAGGAAGGATTTGATTTCGACCAATTTGCTCTCGTGTGCTATTACGGCAATGAGGGCGGTTGTCACTTCCTGGCTGCCCACACCGTGGAGGGTTGTTTCTAGAGGAACCTGAAAAGGAAGGTATATTAGCGTTGGTCTTAGAGACCTGGGTGCGTGACCGCAGAGTCCAAGGGACAACTGATTGAGCCCGGTCACGCACGGCCATTTTGTTAAAGGTTTTTTGAGGATTAGCTCCGTTCTTAAAGGCCCTTAGTGGGCACCCTTACCCAAGGAGACGGGAATCCGTGAAGTAGGGGAGGTGTGACATTTTTAGGGTCGACCTTTTCTAACCCTTCCTTCCTTGTGAGAAGGTAGCATCGCTGCAGATGCTGGTTGTCCGAGGGAAACACCTTACTGCTGTCACACCCCTCTGCAGTCAGCAGTACGACTTCGCCTTCAGACCTTGGGTAGCTGCTTTTAGTCTCATCGTTCTCCAATCGACCAGCCTGGCATGGTAGAACCTTGAGGAACATATGTTCCAGCCAGTATAGCCCGGTTGGGTCATCACGATAGGCAAGCCCGACCACCACGTCAAGGTAGCAGCTACGGTCGGGAGGTAGAAGTAGTAATAATAAAGTATATTCGGGAATAATTAATTATGAATGAATACCAAATATATTGAAACTATGAACTGAAGATCATTGTTTTCACGCATGGAACTCATGAGTCAGGCTACCATTCGAAATCTGGAAGCACTGAAAGACGGCCGTTTTGCCCTAGTATGAGACTCATCAGTGGCAGTGCACATCCAACGGCTGCTGCACCTCGCAGGGTTCGAACCCAGGACCTCCGATCTTGCGCGCGAACGCCTACTCTTTAGACCACACTGAGCTGGCATTGAACGTTGTTAATATCTAACTCTGATTGATCCAATGATTTTGCACGAGCTCATCCACTTGTCTTCAATAGTAGTTACTGCTTTACACTCGACAAGGTTAGGTCGGATGTCTTTGCGAAAATAAAGTTTTTTTTATCCGTATGGTTATAGTTATACCTTCCCAAATATACGGATTATTATTATTATTACAATGTGTTAGTTCAAGAGTTTTTTTTCCATAGAACGATTATTTGCAACACCAATCACTGTCAATTTAATAGGTTTGCCATTATTACATCTCCTAAGTTGTTTCATAACCTCATCCGAATAGATATTAACTGGGGATAGTGTAGGAAGAATGGAATTTACAAAAATCCACTTAAAAATAACGGTGATCAAATATCTATATTATGTGATTAGTTGAATAGAATATACTCACAAGGTATAAACATTTTCAAGGCAATTTTAGAAAACATAACCCACCATCGATACAGATAGTTGTAGTGATTATAATTTCATAGGTAGATTGTAGCAAACTATTCCAAGGATTTACGTATGCTATGACTAGGTGTTTTTTTCTCAATATTTGGATCGCATTATTAGGTGTAATATTTTGAAGAGGAAAATGAGCTCATTACTGCTTCTATAAAGAGTTGATACCAGGCCGAATGTATCTACAGAGCTTAAAGCACCTATGTATAAACTCTAGCCTAAGTTTATCATTTACGTAAACATTACTTAAAATATAGTCATTCTATTCTACTACATGTCGGATACGTAGTTGGCACATTAAAATCATATGAGTCACTGCTACGGAGATCACATTATTTATGTATGCTGACTTGATCTCCACCAGTTATCGAACTAGTATAAGATAGCATTATGTATGTATGGATGACTGGCATCAACTAGCTCTTTCATTAAGACAGACATACAATGCAGAATTTCGTACGTAAGTACATCAGTTCAGGTTGCCATGCCCCATCAGCACAGAGACGCAACTGTCAGTTCAAATCCAAGAGTGACAGCAATAATAGAAGTATTAGCAGTAACGGCGAAGATTAGGGAGCGAAAATATGATTCGAGAAGTATAATTCAGTAAGATAAATTTAGAAGGGGAAAGGTAGAGATTATGAGGAATGCAGAAGCTTAAGATTTCACAGAACACAAAGAGTGGACGCACCTGCGCCATTGCAAACGATTCTGAGCCATGTCGTTCAAGGTCTTTAACCATTGGTGACTTTCGTCTCGCGGACCCCAACCAGATAGCCTACATCTGCCAACATGACTCAGTCCAGTTGTCAATAACTTCATGGATTTCTGCCTTGTTTTGGTTTGGCCGCCCCTAACTTTCTTCCAATCTACTCCTACACCACAAAAAATAGCTCATCGCGGCAGTCGGTGATTAGCCATACGTAACACGTCCCAACCACCTCAACTGATGAAGTTTCACTACTTCATCTATTGATTTGCCATCCCTACCTAGAACTCGTTTCCTAACGACAGCATTGTTTATACGGTTGTCCCATGATACACGAGCAATGCTTCGGAGACGGGTAACCTGCCGACGTCCTCTACTCTTAAAGGCCAAGTCTCGCATCCGAACAGTAGGACGGAGCAAACTGCTACACAGTACACTTGTCCTTTGGTTAGCAAACGGATATCTCGCCTCCGCCATAGGTGACGCAGGTTGGCAAAAGCCAATCGAGTCTTCTGTATCCGAGCTGAGATTTCGTCAGTCACCAGGCCATCATCGCTGATAAGACTGCCAAGATAAGTGAAGCGGTCTACACGTTCGACTACTTCAATCCCTATCACTAATTCAGGTGCCGATGACACCCAATCTTGAAGCAAAATTTTGCATTTCGTTAAGAATGTAATTTGTAAAGTGAGGGTAAACTTTCACATCGTCAAGTCATCCGAATATATTGTAGTAGTCCCTAAATTGTAGAGTTGTACCTTAACGTAAACTGTGCATCTATTATACTCTTGCCATAAAACATGAACTGATTATTCATTGGTTTGAATTACTGCAGAGTGTAGTTTATTAAAGCTGAGTTCAAATAGTACTGATATTGATGATAAAACCTAATGAATGGTGTTCATCTATACTAGCAGTAGGACTGACAATCAATGATCGTCATACACTAGTATGAGTTGATAAACGAGACAATATATTGAATAAGTAGTTCATAAGCTTTGAAAGTTCTCGATTTGATATTTGGTAGCGTTTAAAATGCTTTCTGGCTAATTAATCACAAACTAGAAAGAAATATCTATCTAATTAGTGATCGGTAATTTTCAATGGTTAACAACCTAATCAAGATATGATGAAAACTGACTCAAAACCTTCTATCTGTTTGATTAAATTCATATCATCTGCTGTGGATCATTGTAATTTAATTAAATAGAGTGTAAATAATATTTATTAGAAGCTGAGTGATTTAGTTTTAAAATCACTTTTCAGTCAGTCAGTCAGTCGTTTACAACTTAGAACTTCGTACGTACGTATGTACATTAGTTCAAGTTACTAAACCACATTTGCACAGACAGATG